ATATAAATCCTATAATACGAATAATGGGGTCTTTAATAGGATAAAATGGGCATAATAGGGCTCTTTGCCTAATTGCATAAAATCCTAATTGCATATAATAGACATAATAGGGTTCTTTGCCTAATAGGCCTAAAGAGGGTGTTTGCCTAATTGCATAAAATCCTAATTGCATATAATAGACATAATGGGCTCTTTGCATAATTGCATAAAATCCTAATTGCATATAATAGACATAATAGGGTTCTTTGCCTAATAGGCCTAAAGAGGGTGTTTGCCTAATTGCATAAAATCCTAATTGCATATAATAGACATAATGGTGTCTTTGCCTAATTGCATAAAATCCTAATTGCATATAATAGACATAATGGGCTCTTTGCATAATTGCATAAAATCCTAATTGCATATAGGCATATTGGGGTCTTTGCCTAATTGCATAACAGTTTTATTGGGATAAAATAGGCCTAAAGAGGGTGTTTGTCTAATTGCATAAAATCCTAATTGCATATAATTGACATAATGGGGTCTTTGCCTAATTGCATATAATCCTAATTGCATATAATAGGCATATTGGGGTCTTTGCCTAATTGCATAACAGTTTTATTGGGATAAAATAGGCCTAAAGAGGGTGTTTGTCTAATTGCATAAAATCCTAATTGCATATAATAGACATAATGGGGTCTTTGCCTAATTGCATATAATCCTAATTGCATATAATAGGCATATTGGGGTCTTTGCCTAATTGCATAACAGTTTTATTGGGATAAAATAGGCCTAAAGAGGGTGTTTGCCTAATTGCATAAAATCCTAATTGCATATAATAGACATAATGGGGTCTTTGCATAATTGCATAAAATCCTAATTGCATATAATAGACATAATGGGGTCTTTGCCTAATTGCATAAAATCCTAATTGCATATAATAGACATAATGGGGTCTTTAATTGCATATAATAGACATAATGGTGTCTTTGCCTAATTGCATAAAATCCTAATTGCATATAATAGACATAATGGTGTCTTTGCCTAATTGCATAAAATCCTAATTGCATATAATAGACATAATGGTGTCTGCCTACTTGCATATAATAGACATAATGGTGTCTTTGCCTAATTGCATATAATAGACATAATGGTGTCTTTGCCTAATTGCATAACAGTTTATAATAGGCATATTGGGGTATTTTCCTAATTGCATAACAGTTTAATTGGATAAAATGGGCATAATAGGGCTCTTTGCCTAATTGCATAACAGTTTAATGGGATAAAATGGGCATAATAGGGGTCTTTGCCTAATTGCATAAAATCCTAATTGCATATTAAGCAATTAAGCTTTCATCCCTTTTAGGCAAACACCATTTTATGCAATTAGGTTTTCACCCATTTATGCAATTAAGCACACACCCATTTATGCAATTAAACACACACCCAATTATGCAATTAAGCACACACCCATTTATGCAATTAAGCACACACCCAATTATGCAATTAAGCACACACCCATTTATGCAATTAAGCACACAACCATTTATGCAATTAAGCTCACATGCAAAAACAGTCCAGTTTGGGGTTGAAAATTTTTAATTCTGTCATTTCAAATCATTTATCTATGGACACAAAGAAAAATAAGTTTAATTTGGAATGTACAATGGTGCAATTTTTAACTTGATAAAGTTTTTAGTTACATGTTAAAATTAAGCAAGCCAATAAGAATTGAATAAACATCTTATTATGATATTGACAACACAATCAGCACTGATAAATCTGTAAATACTTTAAAAATAGGCCATGTATAACTTTGCATGTGCATTGGTTAAGATTTTAATAGCATTAAATATTGCCTTTAAGTTAGACCAATTACATTGTGGATCACTATTACTTCCAGTTTCTAATTTAATTTGATTGATTTTCATATGCTTTAAATTTCCCCACCCCCTCAAATTCTACCATTAATTTACAAAGGTGTAGTGATGTCAGCTGGAGCTGCTTCTTCTTCCTCTGAATCATCACCTAATTTAGGAGCAGTAGCAGGCTTGTCTTCTTCGGTCATGGCCATACCACCATACATACCGTTGCCCATACCTGGGTACATACCATTATTCATACCTGGGTACATACCGTTGTTCATACCTGGGTACATACCATTGTTCATACCTGGGTACATACCGTTGTTCATGCCAGGGTACATACCGTTATTCATACCAGCTGAAATGACAATGCACATGCATTTTAAGGGCTGTGGTTAAAGCTATCATGCTTTAAGTGGGTTAAATTTATTAAATTAAAAAAAAAGTAGGGTCTGGGTTGAACATTGACCTATCATATATATATAATTGGCAGTCACCATTTCTTTATCAATAATGGCAACTCCTAGTGGACACACAGACGTAATTTTTGTTTTTTTCAATTATCAATTATACTTTTTATGAAAACATGATAGCTTTAATGTCTTAATCAAGTTTATAAACTGTTAATATAACTACAGCTTAGAGTTGGCTTCAACAATTGTCTTTATAGGGACATTAAACCTAGCATTAGCCTACTCAACACAGAAGTTGGTTCAGGAGATATTTAAGCATCAAGTCCCAGCTTCTTTTATAGTTAGAATACAAACATCAAGATAGCAAGAAAGGGAGGTAATTAATAAAAAATTAACTTACTCATGACACATCTAGGATAACCACCTTGATAAGAACACATTTGACCAGCTTGACAGTAAGTAGTCTAAAAATAGACACAGATATACAAGGTTAGACAAGTGTGCCAGTCATATATCTGACACCCCTTAACTTTCTATTGAACTCTTCTACACATGCACATTTTCTATAAATATGGAACTGTAACATATGATTGGAAGAGTTTATTAGTAAAATTAGGGATGTTCTTCTTGCCTATAATATCATCTCCATTGGATTGATATAGACAAGTGTGCTAGTCATCTATCTGACATCCCTTAACTTTCTATTGAACTCTTCTACACATGCACATTTTCTATAAATATGGAACTGTAACATATGATTGGAAGAGTTTATTAGTAAAATTAGGGATGTTCTGCCTGTAATATCATCTCCATTGGATTGATATAAGATGAGCTGTCACCCAAAATGATTCACCCCAAACAGCAGAACATTTCATTTCATGACAGCTTTAATCTTTAAAATAAGCTTTGCCTTAAAGGAAGTGAGCTCTAAAGATTAGCAGATGTAGTAAAAATGAAGGAAAATGGATACTTACTCCACACATCTGCATACCAACCATTGACTGTTTCTCCTGACCATAGACAGCTACAGCAACCTGGAGATAGAATATATAATAATAACAATACTTTGACAGGAAAACCAGTTTGTCAGAAGCAAGTCTTCCCTGGTATCCTCCTAAACTACATATATAATTATACAACTCAAATTTTACTTTCTATTGTTCTTCTACACACCTAACTAATGAAGATGGGCAACAAGGAATGAAATGAGGAACATTAGAACAGAGTGAATATTACTCTAGTTTTTTGACTTCCAACAGTCTAGGAATCTTTAGTCTGCAGCAAACGGGGCCTCAAGTTATTGTGAAAAAATTAAGCCTTTAGATACCCAGCGGAGCTCTTGCAGTAGTGCTTCATCATTACTATCAGTGTCCCTGATACAGATACAAGTTTAAAAAACCTCTTTAAGACTGAACAATCATAAATAATGTCTACTTACACAGGCTACAAGAAGAGCAATTTTCATCATCATTTTGGTAGGTTAGTTAGTGGTAGATTGGTGTAGTAGTAGTTGTTAGAAGAGTAGATGAATCTATACTGTATACTGGAGACCATGGGCTGTATTTATACCACCTCTCTCTCACATCACAGGTTGTTATCTCCCCTTATCTCATCTCATCTTCTACCCTTCAGATGCTTCATAGATTAGTCCAATATTAAAATTGGAATTGATCATTATCCCTAGATTGAGACGAGTGATCAAAGTGCAGAGTGGTGTCAGGTGTTCGTAAGGAGCAAGCCCTCATCTATATACCTAAAATGAATATAATCAGAATGCAGAAAAGCATTAGCAAGCCTTCATCTCATCTTCTCCCCATCAGATTTTTCATAGATTCATCCAATATTAAATTTGGAAAATTGATCAGTACCCCTAAATTAAGTGGAGTGATCAAAAATGAAAATGAAATGAAATGAATGGAGTTTTACATCCTATTATTCTGCACACATTTAAGCTCATGAGGACAAGCAATACCATGCAGTGTGCAATGAGGGAAATTTTGTCAGGACAGCTGCATTTAGCTGTATTAGTGGCATTAGCTGTGTATAGTCTCCTCTTTTTTAGTCGGTGAGGGATTGGTGGGGTTTTGAGAACTTGAGTTTTGCAGAGAACACCTAGCCACTCTGTTTTTTTTCTATTTTGTGTTTGGGGAATTAGAGAGGCTTTTACATACTTGGAATTTTGCAAAGACAACATCTCATGTACTAATGTATCAGCCCTCTCAATAAAGGAACACCTGATGCCACTCTGCCATTGTCTCTTCACTCTAGTGCAGAACAGTAGGATGTAAAACTCCATTTCATTTCAATGAACTAATATCTGATTGTCAATCTGGATGATATACATATCAAGATCTTTCTGACAGAAAATTCATTAAACTAGCTAAAATTATAACATATTTTAACATATGTGCCAAGTCAGGGTCAAACTTGGAAATAATAGTTTTAGAGTGTACACTTTGGCCTTGAATTTATCATTTACAGATTGGTCATTGCTGAGGAAGGGTGAATTTGAATTTTAGGGATTTCAACCAAAAACAACATGTTTGAATCCAAAGTGGTCGGTTTAATATGCTTGGTGAGTTAAAGAATATTTATAATTTATCTCTTATAGCACATACGTGCATGTCAAGCTATTATGCACTCTGTCTAATACCTTGACATTATTTGGAAATGAAATTAAATGAATGGAGTTTTACGTCCTACTTTTCTGTGAGCTAATGAAGACGGACATTATTTGAAAGATGGACATATTTATGTATTAGAAATTTATGGAATACTTATTCAAAAAGATCTCTTCTGTATTTAGGCAAACAATTAAATAAATTGATAAATTTTCAGGTGGCTGCAGTCAGTGCACAACTTGGATCCTTTAAAAGATGCCAGGTTTGTGGATTTTAACACTTTCTATTCTTATTTTGGATTTATATGCCCAAACATTTGTCAAGACAAAAAATAATGAGCCACAAAAAATATTGAGTCATATGTATTTAAATGAGTCACAAAAAATGATATTTTAGAGCCAAAGCTAAACCATGTTTATTTCTTGATTCAAAGTCTACTACTTAATATTTCTTAAAACAATTTCCAAAATCAAATATTGCGTCTGGTTTGTCTAAAATCAAAATAACACTGTAAATATTGCGTCTGGTTTGTCTAATATCAAAATAACACTGTAAATATTGCGTCTGGTTTGTCTAATATCAAAATAACACTGTAAATATTGCGTCTGGTTTGTCTAATATCAAAATAACACTGTAAATATTGCGTCTGGTTTTTCTAATATCAAAATAACACTGTAAATATTGTTTTCTTTGCAGACATCAACTTGTCCTGGGCCTTTTACCTGTTACAATGTCAATGGAGCTGAAATTTGTATTCGTAAGTAAATTTTTCCCAGCAATCTTTTGCTTTCAGAAGCTTTTTTCTCCATATTTCTTAACTGGAGATATACTAAGGTTTTTGAAGATCCTGTTTACAAGCTGAGACTTGACCACACCTCAGGCATTGATCTGTTCTGAATTATCTGTACCCACTTACAGCCAGATTGTCAAATTTCTAATATTCATTACAGCATCGTTTCTCTTTCCGATTCCAGATTCCAACCCAACATGTCCTGCTCCCCAATTTACTGCAACCCGATGCCAATCTTCCTGTATGGCAGATCAACAATGTATGACTCCTACCTCCCTTCCAGGAACCAAATGTTGTAACCTGGGACCCTGCCAAGCTTGTGTTAACCCAAACTTCTTCCTTCGAAGCAAGGTCAAGGTCATTTCAGGGACAGGATTTCCTAATACAGGACTCCCCAACACAGGATATCCTAATACTGGGATCCCCAACACTGGAATTCCCCCTAACACAGGATATCCCAACACAGGAATTCCCCCTAACACAGGATATCCAAATACTGGAACACCAAACACAGGATATCCCAACACAGGAATTCCCCCTAACACAGGATATCCCAATACTGGAACACCAAACACAGGATATCCCAATACCGGAACACCAAACGCAGGATATCCCAATACTGGAACACCAAATTCAGGATATCCCAATACAGGGATACCCAATAGTGGAACACCTAACATGGGATATCCCAACACAGGGTATCCCGATACAGGATTTCCCAACTCAGGATCACCAAATTCTGGGTTCCCCACAGCTGGTAACATGAACAACCCTGCACCACTGACTGAAGAACAACCACGACTTGGATCCTTATCAACATCATCACAAGCAGGAGAAGACAACACACCAGCTGACAATCCTGACAATTCGAAAGGAATCATCCCTGGAGCAGGGCTTCATTCTGTAGGAATCATTGGAACTCAAGATTCTGTTGACAATACTGCATCCTCCACAGATGATATTTCTGGTAAGAATGCATTTGGAGCCATTGTAGGTGGTAATCTGAACAATCCAATTGATCCAGGTATGCCTGTTCAACTCCCAGCAGACCCACAAGGTGCACCAGTAGAATTACCAGCTGATCCACAAGGTATGCCTGTACAACTCCCAGCAGACCCACAAGAAGTGCCTGCACAACTACCATCAAATTTACAAGGTGCACCACTAAAGTTACCAGCTGATCCACAAGGTATGCCTGTACAACTACAAGCAAATCCACAAGTGCTGCACAAGGCAGACCCCAAACTTTTCCCAAAGCAATTACCATCCATTCTCCCAGCAGACCCAAAACTTCTACCAGAGCAACTACCATCATTACCAGAAAACCAACAAGATGACAAGGGTGCCATGGTGGCTGACAAAGCTATGAATTTAAGACCAGTATTTTCATAAAGGAGAATTATTGAGTTTTATTTGGAAATAAAGATTTCTACTATTGTTATATATATTTTGACTCCACTTTTATCCCATTTGATGCTTTTACTAACTCATTCCTAGAATTTTCAACAACAAAAAAACTCAACCCCTGTTCACCAAAAAATCTTACGATCCCTTTTTGTGTAAGTACGTTAACGACAAACTACTAACGAAAGTCTTACAACATTAGATTGTTTTTAAACATGTCTCTGGCCCTCAAGTTCTCAAATATTGGTTCACTGAAGACTCACTGTGGATATCTTTTGAAACTTTATGAAGCTTTTGGCCTAGTTCCTTCAAATATCTCAAAGGTCTAAACTTAACCCAGTTGCACTAAGATTCTGCTAGTTACAAGGTCAACAAGAAATCCCTCTTCTCTCAAGGCTCCCCTTAACATCTTAAATCCCAAGGTTATCCAACATCCCAAAAAACAAAAATGTTCAATTTTAAAATTTTGGTTCTTTTTTTCAAAATAGAAATTTTGTATGATAAAACAATTAATTTGTGGAGACATTTGCATCACAATGGCAACAATATATACAAAAACAAACAAACAAACAATTCATCAACAAACAATAAACAATATAGCAAAACAAAACAAAAACAATAATAGACACTTTCAAATTGGGACTTTTGAGTCATGGGACTGAAGGTCTATCTGGTGTGTTTTATATTCGTAATTATACACTATATAAATCTACAATTAGATATATTGTCAAACCTGGGGATATTCACTGGCTATATATTAGGCAAAATCGTAGTACACAATAACTGTTTTGCATCATTAAATTTCAGTTAGTGGATCCTGTATTTTTAACATTGCTCAGTTTAAGTGGAATGGTAACTCAATTGCAGGAACCACAGATGTCTGGGAATGGTGCAAATTGATCCCATCTGTGTCCCTGTCTTAAAACCTCTTTAAATTTATCCAATCAAAAACAAGTATTCTGCATGGGTCAGAATATCATGATTCTGATTGGCTGAATTTCAAATTCTACCTATACGTTATAACAGATCAAATTTAACCTTAACCTTCATCACATTATTTGAACGTGCATGCATGTTTCAGCACACACATTCTAAAAATAAATTACATAAATATATAACAATATATACAGCAGTAAACAATAGTCTCTTTGGCTTCCAAAATATACATATATTATCAGTTTATACAGAAATTACTCTCACTAGAGAAATACAAAATTCTAAAGAGATATTCAGGGGTAGAGATCACATCAAATAACAGAACACAATGTTAAAGTATACTACTCCTGAATTTTAAATACAATGTTTCAACAATTTACATTGCCATTTGGTGAAAATTCTCACCAAATAAGGAAAAATATAAATTGAAACTCTGTGTATTAAAACTCAGCAGTCATATATTATAAAACTGTCATTCGTTATTTTTGGAAATGACGTATCACAAAATATATGTGACCTCGGCCATTGCTTTTATGAGACTAAGTTCTTTTCAGCATATATAATTTCTCTACAAAAAATCTCCAAAAGAAATCCAACCCTTATTCCAAATAATTTGATAATTCCATTTGTTGCAATGACATATTTACATAGAAAATCATAAAAAGTGACATTTATCACAAAATGTCGCACTTTGTCTTACAGGAAAACCTTTATCACAAAATATGCACATATTTTATATGTACTAATTAAGTCGGTAGATAATTATGCGCATATATTAATTTTTTATCAGCTTAATATTGTCTTAATGTTTTATTTCTTGCCAACAAAAAGCGCAAATTATGCTATGGACCTACATTGATTATACAGTATATAACTTTATGCACATTCATCAATAAGATAATTATGCGCATACATTAATATTTTATAGCATAAAATGCCTTGTCATGATTTAACAAATATACAATAATTATGCAGATATGCAAATGATGTGAATTAATTATGCGCATATATCAATTTTATCTAAATAAACACAGGCTTATTTAGATAATTATTTGATGTAAGCACCAAATTATTGTGCTATTACTGACTTTTCTTTAGAATTTGAGCACAAATTTGTACTTGTGTATAAAAATAGGATTTTTAGAAAACACATATATTATATTTGAGCATGTGTATTTGAGAGCCTTTTATTTTGAACAAACAAACCCTTTCAAGTTTTATTCAATTCTTGTTCAAATCAAGAAATCCCCAAAAAAACAGTGGAGCTCAAAATATATGGTAGGTTATTTATAAAATTACTGAGCTCGTTTTTCAGCTTCAAAAAAGCCACACCCAAGTAATATACAAAACATACATAACTGATACAATACTGCATGTACAATAGAAGCTCATTTTATATCTAAAGCACACATAATCATTTAAAGAGATTGTAAAGAGATTTTCTTCATTTTTTATGGGTATCAGGGACACTGTTAGTATTAATTTGAATCATTCCTATTTTCAATCAAACGTCTTGTATGGTTGTTGTATTTTCATTAAAACTAAGTATAAATATTACTGGCAATGTTTGCGATAGTGACATCATATATGGTTAACAATTTTTATTACTACAGAAACCACAGATGTATGAATGGAAATTGGAATAATGCATATAGAAGCTATATATGGTCCCAATACACAAGAAAAACCTCTTTACCATCTCTTTAAGATTGTATTATCCAATATATTTAGCGTTTATACATAAAGTGCATTATTAGTCATACATATTAAAATATTGAGACCTTTGTCCAATCTTATATATCTTCAGATCTTTGTTAAGGATTGTATCTTAATCAGGGTTATCTCCCTTGGACTAAGTTCAAATTGACTAGTATTAACTCTATCACAAGAAATCAGAAGAAAATCTTCCATGTTAATATTGTTCTTCTTGATGTAAAATATAAAAACAGTTTGCAGATCCAAAATTCATTCGTTCCTTTCATTACTTCTTTTATTTTTCACCTGAAATTCCGTGCACGTAAGTGTCTAAAAATAAACTTTATAGTTCATTAGTTTCTTTCATTATATTTCCTTTTTCTTTTCACAAATTCACTGGTAATTCCGTGCTTGATAAATAAACTGGACATAGTATATAATCCTTTAAAGGTTCTTACTATGGCCCTATGCAGTATTTTCACGATATCTCCCTTTTAACATGAACAACATTATTATTCATAAGCTTTCTGTGCTAATCACTGCCTGGCGTATTTCCCTATCTTCATCAGATTCAAAAAGAGAGGACTTGAAAATAAAGTTTCATCCATATTTCAAGAAAGTTTGAATGCCACAAACAGGGATAATTTGTGTTTTTATCCAATTTTCACAAACAGGGATAATCTGTGTTTTTATCCAAATTCCAAGTATGTTGAATCCAAATTTCCACAAGGGGGATAATTCAGGTTTTTATCCAAAAAAACACTCAAGGTCGTACCTGCAAATCCAAAGGATAAATATAATTATCCCCTCCTACCATTACTGTAGCCTGAAAAAATATCTCCATTCATGTTTTTATTCAGAACAAGTGTTCAAGGATATCAATCTAATGGAAGCTCCTCTCACATTCAGGTTTATAATAATCCACAAAATAATGTATATCTTATATGTTCTTAAAACCACATTCGCTACCTGTTTATTTAGAACTCTAGTCAGACTTGACTGGTAAATATGACCAATATAACAGCTCTCCTACTGTCACACAGTAGAACACATAACCAACTCTCTTAGACAGGGTTCCTGTTATACTTATTACATAAAACACCACAACACATCTCTATTGTGATACAACACAGCACATCTCTATTGTGATACAACACAGCACATCTCTATTGTGATACAACACAGCACATGATTTTACTGCTTAGCAGCTTTCCATATACACAACAACACACATGAAAGTTTATCACAAAAACACAGCTACAGTCCATTTGAGGACCTGTTTAACACCAAACATCACCTCTCTTATTTGAGGACCTGTTTAACAACAAACATCACCCTTCTTATTTGAGGACCTGTTTAACACCAAACATCACCTCTCTTATTTGAGGACCTGTTTAACACCAAACATTACCTCTCTTATTTGAGGACCTGTTTAACACCAAACATCACCTTTCTTATTTGAGGACCTGTTTAACACCAAACATTACCTCTCTTATTTGAGGACCTGTTCAACACCAAACATCACCTCTCTTATTTGAGGACCTGTTTAACACCAAACATTACCTCTCTTATTTGAGGACCTGTTCAACACCAAACATCACCTCTCTTATTTGAGGACCTGTTTAACACCAAACATTACCTCTCTTATTTGAGGACCTGTTCAACACCAAACATCACCTCTCTTATTTGAGGACCTATTTAACACCAAACATCACCCTTCTTATTTGAGGACCTGTTTAACACCAAACATCACCCTTCTTTAAAAATTTTTATATAAATTAAATAGAGTCAAGCGATCATCAGTATGCTCAAAACTGGTTGTTTAATGACAGTAATATTTGTCCTTCAGTTTGTTTATGTTTATTCTTCAACTGTCTTTATCTGTATCTTAATGTCCATTGAACTATATATAAAACAACATGGACTCAGCACAAAACACGATATCAAGTCATTTTTAGACCCATCCAACGTTAGAAAAAACCTTAGTTATCCCTCAGTACAAATAATGAACAATCAACACTCATAACACATTTATTTGCCTTCAAGTATCATGTCCTATTTAGGATGATATCCAGGCTATGTTTAAAATATCAGCTGAAGATATGTTTCATCCTTTACCTTCAAAGAATTGTTTTGACAGTCAGTCAAATATTTTAACTCAATAAGCACAAGCAACACAACAATAGTTTTCATTGAGGCAATGTCCCTTAAGGTCCACAAAAACAAATTTTCAAGTCTTTTTCATTGTGGCAATGTCATTGAAAGTTCACAAATCAAATCTGTCAAACAGTGTTCACATAGCAGAAAAATGTACAAGATCCACGAAGCACAATAGTCCAATAGTTCACATCTGAGGCAATGTTCACAAGTTAATCACAGATGATAAAAATAGTTCTGTTTCCAAACACAATTTGATGAACACCATAAATTATCACTGAATCACAAAAATTGTTGCTTCCAAATACAAGACTAACAGTGACTAGATCAAAAGCTTGTGAAGTTGGGTCCAACTTGTTAAATCTTATAAACACAATGAATCATGAAGCACTACCATTTACCATCTACTGGGCATCACAGACCATCTAAATAGTTCTGTTTTCAAACACAAATTCTTAAAATTGTCACTGTATCAAAAAATAGTTGCTATGACAACTAAGAGGGACTGAATAAAAAGTTTTTTAGTCCATGAAGCAATATGCACAAGTTGATTGCAGAAGATCCAATTAGTTCTGTTTTCAAACAAGATTTAAAATCGTCACAAGACTGTTGCTATGACGACAAGATCAAAAGCTTTATGATCTATGATGCAAAACTGTTCAAGAGTTTTCAAGGAGCAATGTGGACAAGTTGATTACAGACAATCTAAATAGTTCTGATCTCAAATTGTCATGGAATCACAATATCGTTGCTATGACGACTAAATCAAACGCTCGCGAAGTCGTTCTTGTCAAATGATACAGTCTCCTTCTGGATCAGAGTCGCCTGAGCTCTGAACATGTTGAAACGGACTGGGAGGTGGGCTTAATTCATTGGGTCGTAACATCGTAATTCCAGAGTCAGACCCCGAACTATCGTGTCGATCCTGCAACAAATAGAAAAGTCACGATCAGTTGCTGATTGGTTGAAAATAGGATGAAATTGTTAAGAAATGGATATTTTAGGAAAATTGTAAAAAAAAGGGGAAAAATGCAAGGATGTAGCTACTTTTAAGACTAAATCAGCAACAAATGAATGACAGAATGAATGAATGAATGTAGGAATTTAGCTACTTTAGCACTGTTAGTGTGAAATGAATGATAGAATGAATGAATGAATGAATGAATGAATGAATGAATGAACAAATGAATGAATGAATGAATGAATGAATGAATGAATGAATGAATGAATGAATGAATGAATGAATGAACAAACAAATGAATAAATGAATGAATCAATCAAACAAATTTCTAAGAATGAACAAATTGTACAACGAAAAGAAATATGAATAACTTAGAAACATACCAGATTGAAAACAGGAAGTAAAAGATGATAGGTAGAAAAAGACAAAGACACACGAAGATGACAAAATGAAAAAAACAAAATAGAATGAGATTTCTATACATAGGATGCAGAAATGGAGAAAAACCAAAGGATGAATTAAGCTAGCAAAGGATAAATTAATTTTCTTTGAAGAGACAAAATGATCAAAGCTACATGCAGTTGATGGATGTCAAAGAAGCTGCAAGTTCATAACCTAATTCTAAACTCATAATGGCAAGATGCAAAGACTGTGAATTTCTACATCTTTTAGATAACGCAGGAAGGATAAATGACAAAAGAGAGCTATTTGCAGAAGATGTAATTATTTAAAGCACAACTAGAACAGAAGATCCATCATGCAATGTTTTAACCCCTAAAAAGAGACAAAAATTTCCAAGGGCCTGGGAAAGAAGAACTTAACATCCTTCAAGAAAGTCAAAATTCCGGAAGAGGCGAGGGCACAAAGAAAAGTTAAAGTATCAAAAAGTTTAGACAACAGCTAAAAGAAATAGTTACACGAATATGAGAGCTCGAAAGTAACCTTGTCTGTTGGTGTGGTAGCGGACGAGGTTGTGATGGAGGGCACACTGGATGCTACTCGCTTCGTTCTAATCAACGGACTTCGTTTATCTAGCGGTGACTTATCACCATTACTGACGATAGGTGCTAGTAATGTTGAACCATGGGAAGGTGAGGTTGTCGGCGCTGCTTTCTCTGCAGTCTGTCCAGCTAGACAAGTCAAGGGTATCTTATAGATGTTCAACACTGGACCAGATTTTGCTGCAAGAGAATTTTCAACATAAATATTTTTTGTATTCATTTGTTTCATTTTAGGATTGGATTTTGAGGGAAAAGATTAACTTCATGTAGTTTTTCCTCTTCATTGAGTTTTCAACTTCTGTCTTCTGCATTGCTGTTTCTGCTGTGACAGGGGAAACTTTTCTTCAGAAAATAAATTGGATTTCAGTTGCTTTTCTCAAGTTCGGCTTTTTGTCTCCAATCTGCCATTTTGAAAAGATTATCAAATTTTGTGCAATAAACATCAATAAACTAAAGTGCTCGCAGAACAATTTCAAAACTAAATTATAACCTTTGATAAAATAATAAAACTTACATGAAGGGGAAGGAGGAGGCGAAAATGAATCTTTTTCTCGTGTTTTTTCAGTTGGGGTGTTTGTACCGGCAGCAGATGAAGCGAAATAAATGTCACACTGAAAAATAAAGGTAGACATTGTTAATATGGTTGATTTGAGTTATCTATTTAACAGCTAGTTAGAAAAGACCTAACTATTGAATAAATATGGGACAAATGCAATACACCACTACTCTTTATAAACCATCATTACCCTTGAACCCAGACTTGTATCTCTCAACGCTTGAAGATTGATAACCAAGTATCGAGCATGAGGTAGGATACTCACTAACTCGCTATCTTTGTCAACAAAAATAAAATGAAATTGTACACTCTCTGTCTCTGCCTAAAATGGGTAACACCACAAAGTACACAATGAGGTTAATTCTACCAGGACTGCGGTATTAGCCTACTCTCTTGTAAGAAAATAAGAACTTACTTTAGAAGTTATAAGAGTTAAATCAGGCATAGTCATGGTATGTACTAGATTACCGTTTATTATCAATCTTATTTCTATTGTATCAGACGTGAAGGCCATTACATAGGGGAAGGCACAAACTGAAAAATAGAAAACAGAGTTAAATCAATAATCAATAATATTACATAGAGAGAAGGCACAAACTGAAAAATACAAAATGAACTGAAATTAATGGAGTTTTACATCCTACTGTTCTGCACCTAATTGGACTAAGGCGAACAACACCATGAGGAAAACTTTGCCAGGACAGAGGCATTAGGTTTCGACTTCCAACTGTCAAGGGATCATTAACGTGCACAGCCTGTAGGAAAAGACCACTCCTTAATTCTTGTAGATTTCATAGTACAAACTGGAAAATTCAAAATTCACCATCATTACATTAATGAAGGAGGAATGAGGAAAAGCTATGCAGTGAGCCATGAGGGAAATTCTGTCAGGACAAAAGCAAAGAAAGAAACAAAGAATCAACATACCTATAGCTTGGGGTTCTGAATTCCATAAAAAGTCAAAATCATTACAGTTCTCTTCTCGTAACTTCTGGAAATGGCTCACATCTGAAACGAATAACAAGGAAATGTCAGTCCTCTTTCATTCATCAATATCAAAATCCGATGAAATACAGCAGACAAAGGAGTAGCCTAAGATTCAAAGAAAGATTTTTTGGTCACCTCATATTTTTGTCAAATCCAAGCACTCTTTCTATGTCACGTCCTCCCCAATTCTGTGCTAGTGGAGGATTGATCCACAACTACCGGCAGAACAGGTACCAGAAACTCCCATCTCACTTGCTGATTTACTGCCCAATGATTTTAGGCATTAGAACCTTGGTCTAGCTCACTGATCTACTGTGTGTTAACAGGCGTGAAGGTAAATATACTTACGATTATAACACAGCATCAATTCTGCTTCATCATCTTCATATATATCTAAAGCTGCTACTAGATTCACCTGAAATACCAAAAACAGCTTATTATCTCCCTTTAACTATAACTAAACCAATATTATAGTAGAACTAGACTAATTCATGTTAAATACATTTCAATTTTATATGTTTTAGCCCAAAAATATCTGTCAGGATGCACAGAATCAATTCCACTTTTCCCCATTTTTTCCCCTTTGATCACCAATGAGAATTTTCCCAATTTTTCTGCCCAGTTGTAGGAGCCTGGCACTGCCACTAGATGTCAACCTTGTAAAAATTATTGCATCTTTTCCTACCTTATTGGCATCCACTTTATGTAGTTGAAGAGTGTCACCATTTTTCTCATTGATCAAATCAAACTGGTTTTTATAGCTGACACAGATCTGATTGTCGTGTTTTATTCCATCCACTAACGTTAACATCTGAGGCTGTTCAAAGGCAGACAACTCCTGTAAAAATAGAGACCACAATTAACTCAAACCCTGCATACATTGTACAAGACACTAAAGGAAATGAACTCAGTAGCCTTAGGCAAGTAGGTTAAGGCAAGTTTTGTACAATGCAAAATGTGGAATATCTATTGGATTGTCATCTGCTTGGATATTTGGTACCATGGGTTCGAATCTACACCAATGTTTGCTTTCAAACTTTCCCAAAAAAGACATGACCTTACTTTATGATGAACAAAGTTCCAAAATAAATTTTGATTTATTTTCTAACCTCAACTTTTTTACTTACCCTAACAAACGTGAAGCCATCAATAGTATCTAGATCTACAGATGGACACCATGCTGACCAGGCAGCTGAATGTTTCCATGTAAACAACAACAACTTCTTCCCGACAGCTACCACCATCCTCAGGTGACTTCCTCCTGGACGACTCAAAGCATACATGTGACATCCTGAAATTTGAAAAAAAAAAATTTCAGTGTTATTTCCAAAATATTATTGAACTCTCATTGGGGAAAGTTTATATGATAAGAAATATTAGTAGGTATTGAATGCTTTTTTACCTTTGGCTTCTGTGTGAATGGATTCAATTTATTAATAAGTCAAAGATGTTTTTTACCTTTGGCTCTCTCCAGTCTGTGTTCTCTACAATCTGTCTTGGTTCTAGCTACATCAGCCAATTCTCCTTCAAAATCACTCAATCTGAATACATTGATCTTTCCATCTTTACCTAAAATATAACAATGTTATAAGAATGTCATAGTTTGTTTTGTTGTTTGGGGGCAGTGTAGGGGAGGGGGTCGGCAGTTCTGTCCTGTGATTGGGTGTTCTTACAGTGTGAAAGTGACTCATTCCTTATTAGTCCAGCTGTAAATGGGTACAGATATTGCGAGATATATCAATGCCAAGAGGTTTGTCCATGGACCAGCTGACAGGATCCTCAAAGACTTAAGCTATTATCCTTGTAAAATGCTGTTTCTTTGTTATCTAAAAAGCCCTGAGAGAAGTTGTTGTGTTTAAAGCACATTAGACTTAGGCAACAAGATATAACTGACTGTCTTATTATTAGATAAATTATATTAGATAGTATTATATTCTTACCTTTATCTGTTCTCATGATGAGTAAACCATGAGCTTCTATAACATTTAACTGTTTAACTATTACAGTCTTATCAAATATTGGTCGTGGTGAAAGACCCTCTGTAATATATAAACCGTGGTTTCATTAAATATCAGGGCTTATCCATTCTTCATTAATTTTCTCTTATCAATTAATTTAGATGCCTTATTGTCATTAAGAAGAAATAAATAGTTTTTGATGAAAAAGAATAAAAATCATACCTTCTAAAACCATGACACCATCATTTGTTGCTACAATCAGTTTATCTCCTAAAAAATATAAAAATTAACATCAGACAAAATTATCAGAGGAAACTTTTGATTAGAATATTTCTGGTTTTCTACAAATTTAATTAGTGTTTAAACATAATTCAACACAAAAACGTTTTTCTATAATTTAAACAGTTTTTATCAGACCAGAATCCGACCATTAATAACAGTTTAAAACCCACGTAATATAAACTTATTCTTAACTAATATACATTTAAAATATAATTCAAACCCTTTTTTTTAAGATTTAACAAATTTAGAAATTTTTTTTCCATTTAAAATGTAAATTGATGAGTTTTTTCAAAGATTGAGCGGACTGTAATTCAACCAAAAACAGGTTAAAACCCACATAAAATAATCTTATATCAGACTGAAAAATTGTTTTCCATTTTTGAAGTAATTTGAACATTTTTTTTTCAAAGATTAAGCAGACACATAATGAGAAACTATCTAATTATTTCCAGAAATTGTCTATTTTGGAAACCTCTTTAAGAAGTGAATAACAGTTTTGTGAAGGAGACTGCATGAAATGATAATCACACCTTTTATAATGATTCTATATAAAAACCATCAGACAAATTATTAGGTAAAAACATACTTTCAAAGCCATATATAAATATGATTAACTTGGCACCTAAAGTGATTGTATAGAGGTTTTCTAAATTTGTTATGTGTATCAGGGACACTGATAGCATCAATTTGCACCATTCTAATTTTCAAGCCGATGTCTGTGGTTTCTGCAATTCTACTAAAACTAAGTGTACTCCCCCTCCCACTCCCACCTCCCCCTAAAATAATAAAATCCACTCACCCCAAGAATCTCCACAAGTAATAGAGTAGGGGAATTCCATAAAACATCTCTGAGGTTCCCAAGGCTGCAAATTTAAAATACAGTTCCAATTATCATTATGTGTGGACAAGTCAATGCATTGATTTCAAGATGTGTGCAATGAGGGAAATTTTGCCAGGACAGGGGCATTAGCCTCTGTTTATTTTATTTCCAACTGTCGAGGGATCTTTAACATACAGTCTGTATCACCACAGGATGCTGGTTTATTTTCCACGGATGTATTTTAATGTATGAAGAGAAGAACAATCTTACCTCTCGTTTTAACAACCCTGTTGTCACTAAACTTGTAGGGGCATCACCCTTTAATATTGTTTTTAATTTTAGAGTCTGAAAAAAAAAAATAATTTACTTTAACTAGAGACACCACATAGTGTGCAATAAGGGCATTTTTCAAAGACAGTTGGATATAGGCTAGTTGAGTTCAATACCCAACTTTTATGCACCAGACTCTTCATATGAAGAAGATCAACACCAGTGTGTAATGAAGGTATTTTGTCAAGAAAACTAACCTGTCCCACTCGAACAAATTCTGATCTCCGAACTTCCTCTTTTCTCCGAGAACCATGACTATCTTGTATGACATCACTAAACGCTCGACGATACAACATATTATTCTGAAATAGAGGCAAAAAGTATAGGTTGTAGGTTTCCGAGCTTGATCACACATTTCTTTTCAATTTTTCACTCTTTTAACATTTAAAATATGGAACAAACAAGTTAAAAAATACAGAGGGATTTGAGAAGATGGCTTGAAAATACTGTTTGAAAGAAACAGAAGTTTGACTGAAATATCATGCAAGCTCCAAAAATACAGGTAGACTGGAAATACAGGAACCAAGATTTCAACACTACGACAGATAAATTTCAACAATAATAAATTTGGGGGGATTCAGGATCATGCAACAAATCCTGTGTATAAAATACAGAGGAAAAAGGGAAATTGTAACCTGGATAGGAAAGAGACAGAAGAATGGGATGGAGATGGCAACAATAGGGTTAATTATAAAAAAAACAGGGGTTAAAATACCTTTGTTACCTCTGACATATATTCTTGATATAAAGTTTTTATCAACATATCTAACGTTCGTTCCCGTTTCTGAGCGAACAGTGGGTTGTTCACTACTGCTTTTTCACCGTTTATTACTGTTAAAAATAAATATCAAAAAAAGTTATAACGATAATTTTGTAGTTTTATGGATTTATCAGATTGTTGAGAAATTCTGTTGTGGCAATGTGTAGGTTTTAAGATGAATATATATACTCTTACTGGTCAAGTTTGAAACACTAAATTTAATGTTCATTCTAGTGGTATTATTACTTTAAGTTAACAATAGGGACTAATCAACGTATACACACTTACATTTGACAAGAAGAAAATCTCTGAATTCAGAATGATCATGAAACGTCGCTGGTGAGGGTAATGGGGGGCCGAATAATGGCGTAGATTCTTCAGAAAACACATATAATCTAAAACAAAACAGAATGGTATTCAAACTTTGAGTTGACATCTTAATTTCAAAATATATGTTTCAGTGTTCATAGTGCATAATATTTTAATGATTTATAGAGAAAATAATATACTAAATATATGACTCTCCAAAAGGGATGCCCAGTTCTTTAACTATGTGGCAGAGTTGCAGCAGGTGTTTCAGAAGGGAGATATATGTCTATTTTAGTGCAGTCTTGAGTGTAAAACTAATAGGTTGAAGAATGGCCTCAGAGATAATCTTGTCCACTAACAGAGTCATAGGCCTGTTGCCTGCTGCGCATCATATTTCAAATTTCATTAATATAAATTTGCTCTGAAAAAAAGAGTAATGTTGCAAAATGCATCCAGATTTACATGAAAGAAAATCTCAAAGTTATATTAATAAAGTGGCTTGGAAATTAACGGAAATAATAAAATAAAAAAAACTGACCTATATGAATCGTTGTTCTTATCATGAGTTACAACAGCAAAAATATCTGACACATCGTCAAGGATATAAAATCATAAAACTCATTTCAATATGTTTCTTTTCAATTTCTTCATCTCAATAATATTTCATTTTAATACGTTTTATTCTAATTTTCAATTTCTTATATTTTCATCTTTTCATGATATTTTTACGATTCTTTCATTTTCTGGATTTTTCAAATTTCATTACATTTCTATGTTTTCGTATTTTTTTTCATTTTCATCAAGAAACCAAACAAGAAAATTGTTTACTACATCAACATTTATAGAAATGTTATTTTTAGAAAATTCTCATCAAAAAAAACTCTCGTTAAAGATAAAATTACTAATTGGATATGACAGTAAACAAACATGTAAAATCATTGGTGTAGGAACAATTTCAAATGGACCAATGAAATGATTCCATTTTATAATTGAAATTTTTATTTCATGATAATTCCAAAAAAGTGTCGAGAAAATTCCATTGTAATTTCAATTTTTTTCCATAATTCAATTATAATAATTATGTCTCATTTACAGAATAATCAGGTTAAACGGAGAAAAACAAGTTTGGAATTTTTGTCCTTGCAGTTTTGAAACAAAAACACTATTTTCAAACAAACAGAAGAGCAACACGAGTATGCTGTAATTAAGTAATTATTTTGTATCTTGTCTTAAACTGTCATATTGGCAAAACATTGATAGCAACTAATGAACTGTTCACATGAGGAAGTATATCAATCATAAATGAAGAAGTATATCAATTATATGTAAGTATATCAATTATAAGTAAGTATATCAATTATAAGTAAGTATATCAATTATAAGTAAGTAAGTATATCAATCATAAGTAAGTATACCAATTATAAGTATGTAAGTATATCAATTATAAGAAAGTAAGTATACAATTCTATGAAGTTTAAAAAGGATACGAGTAAAGCGAGTCTTCATCATGGCTGGTTTAAACGATGGTATCTTATCACTATCACAGTCTACAAATACTATATTCACAATATCATTACCAATATGACGTTTTCTTTCCACCTATAGAGATAAATATAAAATATATATATATTAAACCATGTTTTATCTTATCATTGTTTACATAATTTATAGGTAGAACAATTTCTAGATCCTTCCAAGTAAATATTGCTTATTTTCTATACATATAGCAATAGCAAGCAACACCCCACCCCTAGTTCTGACCCCACCCTCAGTCCTGACCCCACCCTACCTGTTGTTTGTTGTGAGAGTTGTAAGGCAGCATGGTAGAAACATGAAATAATATCTCATGACCTTCATAAACTGTGTATATTGTTTCTTCACCGGTTGTATTGGCTGAAATCAACAATCAATCAATCCATCAATCCATCAATCAATCAATCCATCAATCCAACAATCAATCAATCAAACAATCCATCAATCCATCAATCAATCCATCAATCAATCAATCAATCCATCAATTCATCCATCAATCCATCAATCAAACAATCCATCAATCCATCAATCAATCAATCCATCAATCAATCCATCAATCCATCAATCAATCAATCAATCAATCAATCAATCAATCAATCAATCAATCAATCAATCAATCCATCAATCAATCAATAAATCCATACATAAATACATAATTCAATCATGGAGATAATAAATGTAAAATAATAAAAAATAATATTTTGTGACTTAATCAAAGCCTATGATAGAGTCTGGCATGATGGTTTTGATTAATATTTAGCTTTCAACAAAATACTTAACCAAAAAAAACAATTGCCAAAACATAATTTTTGCCCATTTCATGATTATATATTAACCTTATCTCAATTCCCCTCTAGATCTAGAAACTTACAAGAAACTTACATTTAATATCCAAACCACCTTTAAACTTATCCCAACCTTTTAACTTGACTCTATCTCCCAGTAAACACAGGAAATTATCAAACTCCTCAGGAGCAGTTTCTGTAAAAACAAAAACAACATTTCATGATATCATTACCTTGTGGACTCTACAAATTAACTGCTCAGTAGATATATACCCAGAAGATCATTGACAAGGATCCGTTGCCAAGCAAAAAACCAAATGTAATGTAATAGGGTTTTATGTCCTAAACTGTTTGGGTTAATAAAGACAGGATATGTTATGCATTTTGCAATGAGCAAAATTTTGCCAGGACAGGGATTTTGGACGTTTATTGTCCCATCCGACAGTATACCTTTTTCCTGTCTCAGCCTCTCCGACCTCTATCACTGACAGGGAGATACTGGGTTGATAAATGTGAAGGTATCATTTTGACCCATGGTAAGACCATCAAGTTAGCAAGCAAGAGTCTAAGTTAATGAGCCATCGTAGCACCCAGTTATGGAGTACAACAATCATAATTTTTCCATTATCTTTCTAAATTCAAATTTTACATCGATTGACAAATGTAATAAAATGTCTGACATTTTTGATCTATAAGATGGCTGACGAGATAGGAGTCCAATTTCTGGTGAAAATAGAAATTATTGATAATATATCACTCATGTCATGTTAAAATTGGCGTTTAGATAATGAACATGGCAGACAGAACAAAAGCAATTTTCCGAATTTGATTTTATCAACTGCCAGTATCCTGTACCGAGGTCCAATTCTCACAAGGTTTTTGTTTTTATCAGACTTTTATAAAAACTTTTGACACTTAGTTTAGGATGACATAATATATATTGTGGTAATCTACATCAATATGTTTTTGTAGCTGTTTCGTGATATTAAAAAATATGGTTTAGTTATTTTAGTTGCCTTCTTAATTTTTCCAGCTAGTATAATTTTTTCTGTTTAATATTTGTATCATGAGTAAAGAAGTTCATTAAAATGTCTATGTAAAGCACTGGCCAAGGTCACAAATACACTTGCAGGTATATAAATTCAAACAATATGCTAGTTTGTGGAAAATAAAAAAAACTGGCTTATGCCCTTGGTTCAATCACAATTCATTTAGCATTGCCAATCAGACATGACCGGCAATATGGAGCTATTTCTATATCCCTGATCATCTCTATTTAAAGTTAGTCATGATTTGTCTAATAACATTAGCTCTCTGTCTTCATTTCTTATTAAGATTTAAGATCAACATTTGAAGTTAATATCAAAGAAACCAAGCCTTTGTGAGATCATGTTCATCAAATAAAACTCTTGAATTCTTAGACTTAAGACAGGAATCCAATAAATTGGCTTAGAAGTAAATGTCTTTGATAGCAGCACCATGTATTAGCAAGAGGACATGTATGTCTGGGTGTAAATTCTATACTTAAAGGCAAAAAAAAACATTACTTCCTAAAAACTTAAACCAAACAGAATGTTATCTTAACTTAATGTCAAATACTGACTTTCTCTGATGTCAATTACTGACTTACTCTGATGTCAAATACTGACTTTCTCTGATGTCAAATACTGACTTTCTCTGATGTCAAATACTTTCTCTGATGTCAAATACTGACTTTCTCTGATGTCAAATACTGACTTTCTCCGAAGTCTCTATATATATATGGTAAGTCCACATGATGTTTCTTTTGTCTTTGAGTCTATCGGTAGATATATATATATATATATATATATATTGGTAACTTACCGTTGCTGTAAAAGTCATCATCAGACGTCTGTCCTTCTTTGGCATAAATAACTCCGAATTTAAAATTCACTGACCCTTCCTGTTCCTCTAGAACTAATAACTCTTTCTGTATTTCAGGGTCAAAAATTTCTTTTGGTCCTCGTTCTAATTTCTCTATATCAAAATGACTGTAAAACATAAAATAAATAAATTGAAAATGGAGTTTTACATCCCTTATTTTATTGTGTATTAGATTTTTCTAGGTGAAAAAAATTTCACAAGATGTGTAAATTCGATTTTTTTTTTAACAACAGCAAAATTAAATCGGCTGACTTCTCTCCCTAAACCTTTACATACAGACATAAGTGGGAATTATTCTGTGGTAATCATATTCTGCAGACTCTGAGACACTTTTAGGAATTATGATTCTTATTCTTACCTTAAAATTCCTTTAACTGTTTGAGGTTTATTAGGATTATAAGGCAGGGAGATTTTTTTGGCACCCTGAAAAATAGAAGTAAAAATATTTCATTCTTTCAAGATACTCTTCAGGTATATAGAGAAAATATTCCTCAATTCCTTATGGGGAAAATTTAAATCCTCAACTGGAAAACTCTAACAACAAGTCTAAGATCTATTGCCAAACTGTTCCTCAATTCCTTTTGGGGGGAAATTTAAATCCTCGATTGGAAAACTCTAACAACAAGTCTAAGATCTATTGCCAAACTGTTCCTCAATTCCTTTTGGGGGAAATTCAAGTATTCATTGAAAACTGGAACATACAATATCCAAGTTATTCTTAACACTCTTTGGGGAAATTCATTTTTACTTTTAACCCTAATTAAAGAGACTCAAGGCTTAATTTTTGAAGTAAAGAGAAATCAGAAACAGTTCAAACTTACGGATTTTCGCCATAAAATGGCTCTATATTGTTGAACATTGTGATTATTGGCGTCCGTGACAACAACTGACAGTAAAAACGGTTCTTTTTCTACATCCACTCCTACATAGTTCTGATGTACTGAAAATACAATATATCTATAATAAATATCAAATCTACAGGGTAATATTATACTTATTTTTTCAGTCAAGCAACATTGATTCTAATCCTCATCATATTAGGCATTGGAGGCACTGAACACATCGATTTGTGATAGTTTGTAGTTTGAATGGAATTACATGAACCAAAGATGTCTGAATGAAATCGGAATGGTGCAACTTGATGCTTTTAACCCAACTACAAGTTAACACTGAGCTAAAACTGGGATAAAGAAATCATATACTAAAGTTAAGATCATGATATATCAAACCATAATACCAATTTCTTACACAAACCAAATTTATCAGACAATTTCAAGTACAGAAGACTTTAGTCGTAGTCTGGTATTTCTAAAACCTGTGATATAGCCTAGTTAACAACTTACACTTACCAACTTTGTCAAGCTATGAAGTACCGAGGGCTAGAATTTCTCTGCCAAAGTCTGACATAAGTGTCCAAATCTAATAAATTTCAAGGGTCATATTGTTCCGAAGGCTCTTCCCATCAGAATCTGTTATTTCTAAAACCACAATGATGTAACATAGTTAACAAGGTCAACAACAATGTCAATACCCAATAAACCATGTCTTACACAAGTATCCAAATCTAATAAAATGTCAATGATACACGTCAAGCTAGTTAGACAAGTACTAATTTGGGTTAACTCAAGTCCAATTTTCATAAATCACCCTCAAATACTTGGAAATGACATTGTCTGTCCAATATACCCTCCAGAAATTTCATAATACTTGCCCTATAGAGGGAAAAACCAACAATTATGTTCCTGCAAATTATTATTCAAATTTCAAGAAATTGAAGCAAATTGCATTGTCTATCTTTTGTGCCCTCCAGAAATTTTATAATACCCTCTCTTGCTTCTATAGAAATACTTTTAGTTTATGCTAATTATTATTCAAGTTCTAAAACATTTAGAAAATTTCATAGTCTACTTCATAAAAACGTCCAGAAATATGGTAATTCTTTTGCCTCTGTAGAAGAAAAATTACACAATATTTTCATATTTACATACCATTTACTTAAAATACATTAAAGATTTTATTGTCTGGTTTGTGAATGCATGAATTCAGCAATGAAAACTTAAATGAGAGAACAAATGCTTTCCATTGGCGGCGCCAGAGAGGGCAGCCCCGAAAGCAAGGTTTTCGGGCAAAAATCTCATAACTAGGTTAGAAATTCTGGCAATCTCAGATATTTCGCCCCGCCCCAAGTTTTTGAGAATAAGGCAATGATAAAATCCTAACAATTTATATTTTAGTTCTTTCCTTTGCTTTTGCTTTTCAAAGTTTAACAAACTAACTTGAACAACCTGACAAGATATCCAAAGTTCATTTTATAATTCACAAGAATTTCTAGTTTATTTTCAAATCTAGCAAGTCTTCAAGCCTGGAAGCAGCAGGAACCGTTAAAGGAAATCCATCATTAATTTTTGAATATCAAAAAGTCTGGAAGTGACCATAATTTACACCGCCAGTAAAAATCCAATTTCATGAATAAATGAGGTGCCATCTTCCCAGACAAATCCGATAAAATTCCATAATTTCTTTGTCGGACACCTCGGGCTAATCTTTTTGGAAATCTGTAATATTAGGCTTAAAGGGAAACAGTCAGCATTTTCGGGAATTGATTTGCCTCTTTATTGTGCTTTAATAGTCTTAAGAAGTACTAAAACACACGAAAACCACATAATCCCATGATACAAGAAAGGTGGCTATTGCAGTCAAGGTAGGGCAGTTAATAATCGTTTAAAACTGGTTTCAAGTTCTTCCTTTTGTTTTTGAAACAAGTTTAACAATTGTACGTTTATTTTCTCCTTGTGGTAAAGCTTGTGGTAAGGCTTGTGGTCAAGTGGTAAAGCTTGTGGTAAAGCTGTGGTAAAGCTATTAACAGTGTTTTTAACAAAATAGAAGACATAATCATTTTAAGTTACAAGTTAAGACAGTTGAAATAATGCTAACACTAAGTTTTTCTGTTAGTTGATTGATCTGTCTACCCGACCACAGTTAGATTCAATTTCAGTGTTAAATCGTTTTTACTTATCACATTATTAACTATAATAAGAGTCAATAGTCTAGCTGGAATGTTTAGAGGCTGTGTGAAAAAAAAGATGCTTGAAGTAGATAGAAATGGTTCAGAAGTTTTCAAAGCTATTTATGAATATCTGAGACACTGATAGCATCGATTTGCACCATTCCAATTTCAGTTAGACGTCTGTTGTTCCTGCAATATCACTAAAACTTTTTATGACATCACTATTGTACAAGCTGTTAATAATATCCATGGGCCTTTACAATAGTGACATCATAAAACGCTTAGTTTTAGTGGAATTGCAGGAACCACAGACGTCTGATTGAAAAATGTAATAGTGCAAATTGAAAAATGTCCCTGATACACAAAAAAAGTTAAGAAAACCTCTTTACAATCTCTTTAACTGAAAGATAGTGTCGTCTAAAGCATTTCTGTATTGCACAAACCACAGATTTGGAATGGTGTAAATTGATGCTATCAGTATCCCTGAAACACATCAACAGTTTAGAAAAACATTTTACAATGCCAGAAACTGTTTGGACTCATGTTTGGTTTTAATTCAGCATTGGTTTTAAAGTAGTATCATGTCAGAGAGCTGGTCGTTTTCAACCAAGGATAGTATTATTGATTTTATACACATTTAGATTTGAATCATTCTATTAAGTAGTTTTCTGTTGCCACACTCAAAGTTGATTATCCAGGACAAAAAGTTCATTGGTCTATCTTGCTCTTTAAAGAAAGAAAGATAAAAAACAACCATTTGTTCACAAAGATCCTTTCTACCAGCTGATCTTTGGTCAAACCTCTTGGTAATTATTTTTCAAGGAGAACAAGTAAGGTTCATGAGGATCCTGTACCAGCTGGTCTTAGGTCAAACCTCTTGGTAATGATCTTATGAGGATAGCAACTTAAGTTCTTTAGGATCCTTTCTACCAGCTGGTCTTTGACCAAACCTCTCGGCATTGATCTTTTCCGTGTTATCGATACACATTTACAGCCGGCCCAAAACAGTGTTTGTCCAATGGTCTAATATCAACGCACTTTAAGAGTACAGTCAGACATTTAATCAAAAATATCGACTTCTGATCAACCCGAATTCGAGACCCCAATTACCATTAATTTTATCAGATTCCCATCATCATAACAGCCGCCATTATTGGGTTACTGGATCAATGGCGTTAATCTTAAAATCTGCTTAGGCCGTCTGGTGGTAATCTAGACATTGATTGGACGAGGCGAGACTATAATAACCAATCATTGATTGTTATATCAATGAAAATCACATTAGAAATATTATCCAGGCGTAATTCACTTTATGAATAGACAGGAGCATCAGGGTTATTTTTTAGATTAAATCAGAAAAGATAAGAAATATTATCCACACTGAAATTAGGTTGCACTCTTATGAATAGACTCAATCATCACGGCACTTTTAATTTTTGAAACCTTAGAAATCCAGGTAGGGTTAGAAATATCATCCAGACATATTATTTATAGGATCATAAGGGCTTCTAAAAGTTTTGAGGCTATGTAACTTCAGAATAAGAATTTAGTTTGCACTCTTTTGAATAGACCTGATCATCAGGGTTTTTAGAATTTGTGAGACTATGTAGCTTGAAATATGATTAGAAATATTATCCAGGCAGAAATCCTTTTGCACTCTTGAGAATAGACTTGGTCATCAGGGCATACAATTTTGTGCAATTTTCACATCATTTTTTAATGTCTTTGAGTTGTGAGTATTCCTGCCTGGAATCCAGCAAGCAACTTACTTCCTCTATGCTATTAATAACATTATCTTTCATTTTCTAGTCTAGTCCAAATTGAATTAACGGAGAAAAGAAAATAGAATTTCTTCCTCTGTCACAAACTCAATTAAAGCAACGCAAAATTCACAAGACTTATTTGAAGTAGACTGTAAATTTATTAGTAAGCTTTGATGCTTGCAAAAATAAATGGCTTTCTAAATTTAAATATTGGTAGCCATTTTGTAAATGTAAGTGTACATTTTATTCAAATCAGTCTTTTAAAATTTTAGTTTTTGAAACTTGATTTTTTCCAAGAATATTTCTAAAGAAAACACATAATTTCAAATATTTAGACATTATCACATAATAAATCTAAATATTGCTAATAGTAATTCTAAAACTCTATGTTTTATTCAAATCAGTCTTTCAAAATTTCCGTTTTAAATCTAATTTTTAGACATTAAAGTTTTTTTTTTCTCTCGTAAAACGTTTTTCACATTATCACATATATTGACTTTGAAAGTCTGTAATTTCAATGCAAATTGCGTCAATAAATTTGGTGAAAAGTTGTGATTTTGCTTAATTTGGGCGTAAATTTTGAATCGCTCCAGTCTACTGAAGTATAATCACTACAATTCAGAATCAAATTTAACCGCAATTGAAAGAGTCTGGGAAAAAAATTATTTTGAACTAGACAATTTAAATTTCATTTTAAAGAACTAACGAAATGTTAATAAATGGATTTTTATGTCCTACTTTTCTGTACCAGTTTAGGTTAATGAAGACGGGCAACGCCATGCAGTGTGCAATGAGTGAAATTTTGCCAGGACAGCGGTATTATCTTACTCTCTTTCTATTTCTAACTCCCTTTGGAAACTTTTGAATGAAAATAATGAAATAAAGTGGAATAAGTTCTTTTTTTCTGTATCTGTAGGTCTAATGAAGACGGACAACGCCATGCAGTGTACAATAAGGGAAATTTTAGTAGGTCAGCAACATTAGCCTACTCTTTTTGGATTTCCGACTCTCGATGGATCTTTAACGTAACATAGTTAAGTTTTGACGATAAATACAATGAAGATGAGATTTTACCAATTAAAAAAATTTCTACTTACATTTTCCGAGGAAATACTTAAAGTACCAACGCGTCTGAAACTCAGGATTTTCTAAATGAATTGGACTATTTAAAGGACTGGATAACTGAAATAAAATAAATAGGAATTATTAATGTACTAATATGAATAAAAATGGCCGAGGAATTGGCTGCTTTATGACATTCATAACAGAGCTACTCATTGCATCAAGACAAAATAGTTAATAGAAATTTGATGAGAATATAAATGCAGATACATTGGCCTTTTAAGAAAGGCTACTAAATCAAAATGGTTAATGAAGCCTACAAATCCCAAAACACAAACTAATTTAAAATTCTAAAAGAAGGTTATGGATATTGAAATCTATCTGGACCAATTACTTCAAAAACTCATATTTTTTTTACAATTCCTTATTCTCAAGATACAACTCCAATTTTAAACAACCGAATGATTTTAGATCAGTGGACCAGACCAAGATTGGTTACATTCATCAGGAAAACTTTCCCATATGACCTTTTTTCCTTCTAACACGCAGTGGTGATGCCAGCCTCCCTAGACTGGGGTTACCAATAGGGGGCAGACTGACTCTCGAGGCTCGATTCAAAATGCAGCAATAGATTTAAGCCTATCATGGAGAGTCTGAAAGGGTACTCCCAAAATGCCCCCACCCCCCCTGTGTCACTACCCGTAACAAGTCTCCAAAATATCAGACTAGAATAGCGAAAAAACTTACAGAATGTAAAATCTCTTCGCCTTCTCTCTCGCCACTCTCGACACGAAATCTTCCAGCATTCTGTAGACATCCTTCAGCATCGACTGATGTTAACTGAAATACACAGGAACATCCTTAAAACAGTTGCAGCAAAGTGAAAATAATGACATGATACTTCCACATAAATATAAACTCTTTATAAACTAGCTTGATTATGTAAATTGTGAGAAACACCCAAGGACAATTTGAAAAACACGTCAAAACTTCTAAAGATTGCATAAAATTAAACCAGTGATTGTAAATAGAAATAAAGTCTTGCCAATCGTCAAGTGATATTTGTTGCTTTTAAGATGTAGACACTTTTACTCTCAAAAGCTAAGTTATTGAATAAGCCCAAATTAAAAAAAACAAAACAAAATTTTCTGAAACAACAAGGATGAACTTTCGCCAAGGAACGTAATAATTAATAACACCAAAAAGCCACAAAAAATCTCAAAAACATTTAACCAACTGAACAAAGCATAAATTTGAAACCTAATTTCTTATTTTCATTTTTGAGATATTTTTTGACAATTCTCAAAAAAAACACAGCAAAAGTGTAAAAAAAATATCAATTTATTTTTGAAAAAAAAATTAAGTTTTAATTTGCAAAGATATTGATTTTAAAATCTTTAGAAAATTTCTAATAATTTGAATATTTACACTAGAAATTGCACAAAAATTGATTTTGATTTATTATGTTTTGGTATAAAAATCATTTTCTTTTGATATAGACATCAAAATAGAACTTCTCCACCAATTTTACAAATTCAATTTAAATAAATTTCAATTTAATATAAAAACTTCTTTCAATTTATAAAGATATTGATGTCAAATCTTTTACTAATTTTTATCTTTCATATGATAAATTTTACAAAATAATCTTCTATTTATAAAAATATTAATATCAAAATCTTCTTTTTTAGAAATTCTTCAATAACGTGAACTCAATAAATTCTTCAAAATTTCTTTTTTTGTATAAAAATCATAATATTGAGAAATCAACATCAACATTTTTTTCACCATAAATTGTACAAAATCTTTTTCAATTTTTGAGGTATTGATATCAAATTCATATTCTTTATTTAACTTTTACATGCTAAATCTTACAAATTATATTCTTTAGAAATATTCTGTTAATATCAACTTTTCCACTATAAATCACATATAATCATTTTTCTCCATGTTTATTAAAGGGATACTACCTCTTAGAATGGACAAAAAGTCTAAACTTTGGTCAACAAGTGTATATATTCATCAGTTAGACTTACCAGGTGTCATGACTAAAGAACAGAATCTCTATATAACACAATATATCTATTAAACTAAATAATTATTGAAAAACACTTCTAAGCCTTTTTCTAAATTACTTAGTTTGTGAATTATTACTTAGTGTAATGAATTATTACTTAGTTTTATGAATTATTACTTAGTTTTATGAATTATTACTTAGTTTTATGAATTTATTAGATTATAGAAGGATTCTGTAGTATAGTTATGACACCAGGTAAGCTCGACTGATGAACAAAGGCTCATTTTGACCTAGTTTGAATATCAAGATTTTATATACATTCTAAGTGGTAGTATACCTTTAAAGAAAAGATGTCAAGATTTTCTTCAATCTTGTGGTTTATTAATAAATTTTACGCTGTTTTACACATTGCTTAATGTAGCGGAATTAAACATGAATTGAAAATGAAGATCGCTTTTTTCATGAAAACAAATTTGTCAAAAATAATGTTACAGCAATTTTCATCAACTTCATGAGAATATAAAGGCATGTATGAATTTATCAAACCTGATTTCTACAAAGTTTGTGAAGCAAAAATTGATAAGATATTCTCAACCTTTCACCAAAGTCGAATGATGCAAAAAAAATGCCGTAAATGGCTGTAATACACAAGAAAAATATTAGAAAACCCTTCAATTCCATTAAAACTTTGTTCCTATACCACAAGACGTTATTCAAAAAGATTTCAAAAAAATACAATACCCTTCTTAATTTGTAATTTTTCTGGAAAATGATTTTTTGGTCATAAAATTTGCATAACACATTCAAAGCATATTCAGCGATAGAAAGCATAGAGAAATCATAAAGAAATCATAGAGAAAGCATAGAGAAAGCATTTAAAAGCAAAAAAAATCAGGAATTTTTCAAGCAAACAATCACAAAACTTTAGATGACAAAAAGAACTGAAATAAGATATATTTCTAGAAATTTATAAGAGGTGGAACAAAGGAATGTCCCAAAGACAATTAGAGATTTCTTCAGAGCCAAGAATCTAACTTACCAGTTCCACAGAACCATAATGTCGTCTGCTAAATACACCTCTTCTGGCAGCGAGATCTGACGCAGGAGAACTGAAAAATACCAAAATAATATTATAGATTATCAATTTAACAACCAAAAAAAATTCTAGAATGTTACTTATACCAACATTAAAAACACATAAAAATGAAACATTGTTTTACTCTGTATAATGTTTTGTAATATTGTTTTATGAAATGTAACATCGTTGTACAAAATGAAACATTGTATAATGTTGAAGTGCAACATTGTTGTATTCTATATGTTTTGTAACATTGTTGTATAAAATGTAACATTGTTGTATAAAATGTAACATTGTTGTATAAAATGTAACTTTGTATTAAACAATGTAATATTCTTTATTTTTTTTAACAAAATGTAAATATTTTTTCTTTGTATAATTATAACATTGATTAGTCCACTCTTTGTCCACCGAGAAGTTCATTCTTTTGTTTTTAGACTGTTACTTTGTATCTTATATGTAATATAATGTATATTATATATTATCGACTATCTCATATAGGTTAATATAACATATCAAATTTTCCTGTAATTACATTTCAAGATGATTTATTACATGGAAAAACCAATAACTTAATCAAACGGTCTACTGTGAAAATTCTGATAACGCTCTTCAATATATCATAGTTTTGAATTGCAGCCATTATCTACCACTACTCTGTCCAGTTTGTCAGGTGATCATGTAATTCGAACATGTCGTTCAACTTTCAGCAATATATCACTGTGTGGAATGGCAGTCATTATCTACCAGTACTATCAGGATTGCCATGATCATGATTCTGGTAGTTCAAACATCAGAAACTGGTCATTTGGGACTACAATTGTTTCTAAACCAAGCCAAAAAAACATATGTAACACAAGGATTGAAAATGATAATTGTATAATTTGTTCACCAAATGTGTCAGAATTATCCTGTAAACACTCTAAAACTAGGGACTATATTCAGGTCATATTGTTACTATCACTAGACAAATCTTTGTAAAATACCAGATGTAAAGAGTCTGGCCCAAGAAGACACAACTAATTCACCATTCATAATAGAGTCTGATTCAGTTTTACGGAAACTGTCAAGAATTGCTGAACGTAACTCAATTTATATGTTTTATCTGGTTTTCAGTTTATTTCCCCAAACAGTCTGACTTCGTCTATGTGACTATCAAATTCTCAAGTGCAGGCTCATTTACAATATAAATTATACCTGTTTATAACACAGTGCTGATTTTCATAGCAATATTACAAAATGATAAATTATGTGGACTCTCTGAAAGATACCATGTTGACAAACCTAACTACCAAATAAACAATAGTTAGCTATGTGGACTCTCTGAAAGGAATGCCAAGTTGACAAACCTTATTATTAAATAAACATTATTAGCTATGTGGACTCTCTGAAAGGGATGCTGAGTTGACAAACCTGAATGCTAAATAAACATTATTAACTATGTGGATTCTCTGAAAGAGATGTCAAGTTGACAAACCTAGATACCAAATAAACATTATTAGCTATGTAGACTCTCTGAAAGGGACCAAATATAAATAAATGGCCTAGTTGTCGTGAAAAAGCATTCGCCTCCGTCTATGCCCTTATTTAGAGTAGACTCATACGTCATGCATCTCTGGTTAATTAAGACAAAGACGAAAACAGGAAATGACCCACATAGACTACGTACTGTTGAGGTAATTCTACATGACAGTTCCACTTCCTGTTCAACAGTGTTGCAGTCTGACTTATCTTCAAACCATTTGAAATTCTGAAATTCCATTTTCTTATTTTCTTTCAGAATGACTTAAAAATCTACAGAGTTAAAGGGATTGTAAAGAGTTGTTCTAAACTTTTTAACTCTGAACGAATTATATTGGGATAAAGGAATCAGTTGACATCTATAGAGATTATAAAGAGGTTTTCTAAATTTTCTATGTATGTTGTTGACAATGATAGAATCAATTTGCATCATTCAAATTTACAATCAGACGTCTGTTGTTCTTGTTGTTTCACTAAAACTTCACATTTCATGAAGTCGCTATCTAAAACGTTAGCATCATTAGTGAAAGTAATATCATTTACGTTTAGCATTTCTATAACAACAAAAGGCAAAACACCCAGGTAGGGCTATTAAGAAGACATAGTCCAGGAAGTGACCTGTCGTCAAGGTGATGGATATGACCCGGAAGTAATTAGTGACACCAGTACTATAAATGACCTTTTGATTGACAGGTCAATACTTAAAGTGATTAATAGCAGTTCTAATCATCACCTATAAGACTTGATGACCTTCACATGTCACAAATAGAAATCAATATTTCACATAATATATTTAATTTTAATAAACAGTCATTTTGTCCTCAAAAAAGATTCCTAGCCAAATTTAAGGCTTGAGCTGTAAGCTATTTATTTACATAGCAGGCAGAAAACAGTTTCAAATTATATTACAACTGAAGTACCGTTCTCAGTCCATTTGAATTTACTGTGACGTAAATGGGCACATTTTATCGCAGCCTGGTCTGAAACAAAACACTTTATAGCTGCCAAGTTTCAACTTGTCTTTGTATAAATTTGACAGGTTCCACAGAACTCAGAAATTATTGACATATCTTCAAGAACCAAATCAACCCCGGAAAATGGTAAACCATGGTATTTCATGTCATTAAACTTAATTTCAATCATAAGGCATTTTTGTTGACATTCGATACAATTCAATAAACTGAACGAAGCACACTTTTGTAATCAACCTACGTGAATTTCATCTCAATTCATCCCGATACAATCAATCAATCAATACGCAAAATTAAATGAACTCGATAGCCTAGACGTAATTTTTCTTCCAATGATTTTATGTATTTTCGATAGAATTAAATAAACACAAATTGTTTATGTTAAGTCTCTACTAATTTTGATTTGATTGTTTGTTAGAATTTAGCGTACACGATAACTTAGGCAGTAATTTAGCTTTTCAATGGTTTTATGCATTTTCGATACAATTCCAGAAACGTTAAAAATTTTTTTATATTTTTTGAAATTTTGATTGGATTCTTTGTTTTAATTCGGTACAATTTAAATCGATAATAAAAATTATCAGAACTCAATACCTCAGACCTAATTTCCATTCAAATGGATTTGTATAGTGTAGCAGAAATTGTTTCCGATGGAAACCAGTCAGCCATATTGCCCTGAATTCTCACGTCTGCTCTGATCAATGTTGATGTGTTTCAGCTCATTGAGCCGGAATTAAGGATTAAAGATCTGTTGTCAGCGAAAACAAAAAAGTCTGTTGTCTGGCTTGACAGTAATGGACTTTCAAAATCTTTGGGATTTTTGCTTCCCAAAAACTTTTGAAAAAATTCTGATCAAATGCTTGGACTGCTAAGCTATAGTATTGTTTCTGGAATATGCAGTGTTCTTGTGGATTTGAACATTTCTGTCAAGTCTTGCTAACAATCAAATACTTTCAAGATATGGATGGATAAGAAGAAATTCCTTCATAACATTTTATTTCATAGATTTTATAAAATTCCGATTCTAAAATAAAGCCTTAAATTCTTAAGTTCCTGCGATTTCTGCCATAACGTTAAAAAGTTCTCTAATCTAGCATGACACTGAAATAGTTTTTATGACTATTTTTACGGAAATACAAACATACATAGGAAATTACAAGATCTCATTCGCTTGACATATCACATGGAACGTCATCAATTGACGTGATTTCAATATCTAATTTTAGATTAATATTTTTTATTCCTTTGTAAGATTTTTGTGGGGGCGGCTTGTTTTCGTCACTGATTCTTGATCCAGATATTTTGAATAAGTCTCGTGGGGAAGGAAAATGTTAAAAGTGTATTTGTTTAAAAGAGTAGGTAGATCATGCGATAGATTTTAAATAGTTTGGATATTAACAAATCAAATGAGGGATTTTTTAGTTTAATTTTAGATAAGTGCAGTCGAGAGACACATTTCTCTAGATTTTGGTGTATGTTTTCAAAAACTTGAGCAAAAAAAATGTTTGACCCACAAAAAAAGCCCCTTAAAATTTGTAGTGGGTAAGGATGCAGCAGATTGAAATATTATGACAAAAAAGGACGTGGATGCTATAGATTTTTATTCGATTGATATTTGTATCTTAAAATATTCCTTTTTCAGTCATTCATGTTTTTGGTGGGAGGAGAGGAGAAGGGTGGGGGTAGGAAAGCTTACATATTATATTATAAATCTTCACAATAGAATAGTGAAATGTTGTTAACTGTAATGTGAATACAACACATCAATAGATATTCTGGCCACACCCAACACTATTATATAATATATATATACACCACTGTCATTGTAAACTTATCTAATACTGGTCTATAACAATATCAACTTTCTATGTTTCAAATAGGTCATGTCTTATGATTGAAAGTATTTTTTACCATACCTGATATGAAAATTCATATTTTCTGTTTTCATGTTAGATATTTCATAGACCTACATCAACGAAGATAAACTAATATTATCCTCGTCTTATAAAACTTCTGCTAATCCATACAAATGGAGATTATTTCATACAATTCTGCCAAATTTCATTGACAGGCGCTGTGCTTTCAAGGGATGGAACTCTTTGTTCAGTCAAAGAAGAGATATACAACCAAAGTTTGATCACCAACTAAAAACCACAACAAAATATGCCTGTTGTCTTAGTAAGAATCACAAAATGAATCCAAACCCCGTTCCGACCATGTTTAAAATTATTCACTATCCTAAAAATTATAACATGCACAATGTCTTCCACCTTGAGTCAAAACCAGAGCAAAACCAGCTGTTGGTAATAGTCCAAAACTTGGTATAAGGTTTTATAAGAGATACTCTCTTATAGAAGCACTGGCCTAGGTCAGTCAAATTCACAAATCGCATCCAAACTACATCCAGACTTCCAAGGCATCAAAATAATCACATATGTGTTTCATCTACACCAAAATATGCATGATCCAAGCAACATTACAAGTCCAAACCAGCATAGAACTACTGTGAGTAATATAAGTTAGGGTGTGTAAAACCAGCTG